TGTTACCATTCGTTTTGTTGTTTTTCTTTCTTCCTCTCTTCTCTTCGTCGTGCATCCAAGCGAGAAAACTGCCGATTAATTACACCTTAATCAACCCGATAAATATTTCTTCTTCGGTTATTAAATATAACCACACACGGCATGAATTCGAAAAATTGAGGGACGCGAGCAAAGGCAGCATCGTCAGTGGAATCTCTAAACTCAAAAAGTACTTTAATCGATTCGGTTATTTAGAGGCGGAAGACCGTATTTCGAATAATTGGAGCGAGGAATTCGATTCGAATCTCGAATTTGCAATTGCAAAATATCAAGAAAAATTAGGGCTTCCGATTACTAGAAAGCTCGATTCCGTTACACTTTCCGAAATCATATCTCCAAGGTGCGGCGTGGCCGACCAATACACTACTATGAAAAAAACGTACAGCACCGAGAACTATGTGTATTTCACCGGCCGGCCGAGGTGGCAGAGGAATATTCCGATGAGGCTAACCTACGCCTTTTCGCCAACTAATATGCTTAATTTCAGCGATTCTCTGAAAATGGTGGATTTGAAAGGTGCGTTTGGGCGGGCTTTCGCGCATTGGGCTTCAGTTATTCCGGTAGGGTTTGTGGAGTCCGACGACTACGAATTCGCCGACATCAGAATAGGGTTTTACTCCGGCGACCACGGCGACGGGGAGGCGTTCGACGGCGTTCTGGGGGTTCTGGCGCACGCGTTCTCGCCGGAGAGCGGGAGGTTCCACCTGGACGCGGCGGAGACGTGGGCGGTGGATTTCGAGGCGGAGAGGGCGGACGCCGCCGTGGATCTGGAATCGGTGGCGACGCACGAGATCGGACACCTGCTGGGGTTGGGGCACACCGCCGTGAGAGAGGCGGTGATGTACCCGAGCTTGCGGCCGAGGGAGAGGAAGGTTGATTTGAAGGTGGATGACATTGAAGGAGTGCAAGCTCTGTATGGGTCAAACCCTAATTTCAGTTTTGAAGCTTTCTCTGAATCGGATTTGCTGTCTGCTAATGGGGGTTTTGGGGAAGATGAAGAAGAAGGAACGGAAATTAGGGTTAGAATTTGGCTGCTGCTGTTTATATATGTATTTTTGTTTTGCATGTAAAATGCGGGTAAATTCAAAAGTATACATATTAATATATAGGTCCCTAACAATGTGTAAAATTGTAATTTCCCCCCTAATTAATGATTTAATTACCTTCCTCAAACAAAATTAATTATTTACTTTAATTTGAATTTTATTTTTATATATACTTTTTTGTATTTTACATGCATTAATATCTATTGAGAAAACAATAATTATATAATTTATTTATTTATATTTTTTTATTAGAAATTCCAATTTCTCATGGGAAATGTTGAATTGGTATTGAAATTTGTTTTTGTGTCCATGATATTTAGGTTAATTCATTAGTAAAAAAGTAATGAATTAGAAAAATTTATATATATATATATTATTATATATAATATATATATATATATATATGGTATATATATTTATATATTATTATCTCACTAATTGACTAGTTGAAATATAATATAATAATAAAATCCCAATAGGTAGTAAAAAAAAATATTAATTAAGACAAATTATCTAAGAAATATATATAGTTAACATAAATTATTTTTAATAAAAATAAAATACTCCAGTAGGTACATTTGATGAATATTTTTTGTAAATCATTGAACAAATGGAATAAGAATAACACAATATTTTTTTATTTTTTTCCTCCAGCTCGGCAAACTTCCGTGGCATATTTAAATCCATGTCAGCATTCTCCATAGTTGGTCAAATAACAAATTCTGCTTCCAGCATGGGGGAATATGACTAAAATACCCCAGCACCAAATTCTATCGAGTCACGTGCAATGCAACATGACTTTTCTAGTCAAATTGAACGTGTGGACAATTCTTCTAGAAATTATACTATTTTCTACATTTTGTGTTATAAATAGAATTGGAATTTATACTTACTAATATAATTAACGTGAATTTAAAAATAAATGAATAAATAAATAAATAAAATAGTGATATGGTCTATCTTCAATAATAATAGCCATGAGCCTTTGTGCCCCAACAACATCACTTTCATCTTGACTTCCCCCAAAAAAACACTAAGTCATAATTAAAATGTTTTCATATCATAGATAATGTCGATAGCCACGTGTACACCAAATGTTCATGACACGTGTCATGAGTCAGCATCCACCATTTTCAGCCACAAGCTACCATAGATTCAATTGGGTGGTGATCAGATGAGTTCATCTAACCCAAAATAAAATATATATCCAAATGCAATCTATAATTAATATCAAATTGCATGAATATAGGTACAACTCCATAAATTAATAATCTCATTTAAATAATAATTAATTTTGATAGATGAATAAATTAATATATAATTATTAATTAATTATAATCCCATATATATATATATATATATATGCAAAAATTAGAAATGAGTACTAATGAAATAGGAGAAAAGAAATAAAATGTTAGTAATGATAAAAAGTAGTATAATAGATGGGAGTCAATCTTATCATTGAGATTCCTTTATGACTTCCAAAAAGATTGTGATGCAACTTCAAGATCTGCATTAGTGGCCTTAATTAGATTTATTGAATTACTATTTACTATTACATTTTAATTTAATTTGTTTTTTTTTTCTTTATTCCTTTATTGACTAATTATTTATTTATTTTACTTACTACTCCCATTGTTATACATAAGGGCAATGTCACGTTGGAAATAATTAGAGACCGGGGATAAAAAAAAAAAACCATTCACTAGTTATTCGTGGATGTGTAGGTTATATATAATTAGTTATATGTAACTACTAGGTTGGATGACGATTTCGAAAAGGAAAATATAAACTCCATAGTGATTTTTATATGATTTTGAACGTACTGACAAGAGTATTAAATCATAAGCTAGAAAAGTAAATTTCACTAAATATAAATCATGTGTGACAAATCTGACTTCAAAAATATTTACAAAAATATTAAATTTAAAAAGTCACGACTCACGAGTGGCGCACATTTATATATTAACAAAACGGGGTCCTCTCGTATGTGTTGTAAGTACTTATAAGTACTATATAACTAAATATTATGTTATATATATCTAGGTGATTATGTGGCAGGTAATTTAAATTTTAAATGCAATGTTATATATAAAAGAAAGAAAAATTGGGCAACCCTAAAAAATCCTAATGGTATTTCAGTAATTAATTATTTTTAATATTTTTTTCTTTACTAATTTCTAACCATCATTTTTAAGAATTATCAAAATTGAAACTAAACCGTGAAGAATCCTACCCAAATGGTACTTATGTAATTATTTATTTTTAATATTTTTGAACTACTAATTTTCAACAATTATCAAACTCCTATTTTTCATCAATATATCTCAAATCTGAAGAGATAAAGATAAAAATTCGATTTGTTAAAATGTTAATCTATATATTTGGATTGTAATTCTTAAATCTTAATATGTAAGATTTAAATTAACAAAGAAGGGTATTATAGTATTTATACATTGAAAATTTTAATTTGGTCTTGCACAAGTGGGTTTAGTCTTGCATATAGCCGCAGCCTATAAAATATGAATAATACTACATTATTTAATTTTACTATGTTAGTGTACTATATTTTTTATTATGTATTAAATTGGTTTTTTTTCACTTTCGAAATAATATTGCATGCATTGCTCGGGGGAAAAACGCTAGTTAATACTAAATTCAAAATTTATTGATATTGAACTATGTGATATAATTTAACCTATTATATATACAGACAAGATCAAGAATCCGCATGTGCGAAACATTGGTTCAAGGTCACAGAAGAAGATACCACGTTACATGATGCGATGCTGATTGGACGAACACTAATTAAAATTACTATAAAGTAATCCCTTAATTAGTTAATTACCTAATTGAAAAATCAAAATCAAAATATTTAATAGTGCTTAATATTTAATAATAATCTCCACCAATTAAATCGAACTGGCGTCCGGTTTAATCTAAAATACATGTCAACTTCCATGCTTTGACTTTTCAAAATATGAATTAAATAGATGGTTGTAGTTAACTAACGACTAAGGTTGTGTTTGCAAAAGTTTTTAGAAATAACTTCTGAGTTTTTTTCTTCTCATAATTTGTTTTTAAGTGTTTGTATAATCAGCTTCTGAGCTTTTTCTTTTACTTCTCTTACAATAAACTGTTTTAAATTGTAATTTTCAAAGCACCCATGAACCTGTCTTTTAAATTGATTTTCGAACTTATTTGCAACATTGCCAACTTTAATCAGTTAAACCAACTTAAATTATAATTACAAACTTCTGCTTTTAAATAAGTTTTTGCAAACACCACTAACTCACAATCACCAACTACTGTTTTTAAATAAACTTTTACAAACATCATATTAAGAAACATATATTTGTAGGAATTCCGTGTTGATAATGTGTAGTTGGAAAGGTGGGAAAAAGTTGCAATTAATTTGTGAAGGTAAGCAATTAATTAACATAGAGAAAAAAGGATTTGCAAGAAATTGAAGTAACGTATAATAAATGTGTCACAACTAGTCTTTAATAATTATTCATGGTCACTTTTCTTCATCTCCAAATCAACTGCACGTGAGAGCTTTCTTCACACACTCCGTACGTGTGTGTGTGTGTGAAGAATTTCTTTTTAATATTTTATATATATATAAATCATAAATGGACCAAAGATATATAAAGAATGAGGCTTTAATTTGCAGCCTTTACACTAATAAATACTTTTTTTCTCTCTCAGAAAATTATCCCGTGGTTTTTAATTTTTTATCTTTGACAGAAAAAAAAAATATATATGTATAATAATAATTATTATTTTTATTGAGACCCTATTAATAATTGAATAAAAAATAATTTCTCGTACTTGAGGGAATTTGTGAAATAAGTACTGCAAGTGTAATAAGACAGCATATATATACTGCAAATTGACTAGTTAAATCACGATTTAAAAGGGTGTACTATTTTCTTTCCAGATCAAATTTCACAAGAATTTTTTGTAGGGTAAATTACAACGTCTCCCTAAGGTAAAGTTTATTTACGAAAAGACTCTTCATATTACCATAATTATATCCACTCCTTGAAATTATTATATTTCTTATATTAACACGCTTTTGTATGAGTGAATGTAATAAATTTACAAACTACATAGATCTGGATGTAATTTCATGATGAGTCTTTTTGTAAATTAACTTTATCTCATGGAGTTGGTTGTAATTTACTCAATTTTGTAATTCACGAAATTCCAAGAGAAAGTTGAGTTCGATACAAACACGGGATACATGTAAACAAGTGAAGCAAAATAATGCTCCCGTTTCTTCGAGTATCGTTTGATAGCCGCACACGGATTAATAAGTTCGTCCCATTATCAATAAACTTTGTTATATACACAAATAAATGTTTAGTATCTAAGTTATAATTATTAATATTATTAAATTTATTTTAATTTGTTGGATCTTAAGGAAGCAAAACAATAATGGATAGAGTCGTAGATACTTTCAATGAATCTGATAAAGTTAGCAGCTTTAATTTAGGTACTATGAATTTTGTTTGTTTTAGGGGAAAATAGGAAGCCAAATTGCATTCAATTCACTCCTATATATATAATTAACACTTCCCCACCTACAAACCCTACTATCAAAACCTATATAATTACATACATGTAATATATATATATATACACATAGGGCAAAATTATGGCTAACCCTTGAGGTATTATCAAATTACCAAAAACCCTTTCTTGTTTGGGTAATTACAGCTACCCCTCCTTTTAAATATTTTTACATAAATTTATGTAATTCGGTTATTTACCGAACCAAATTGTATATTCAGTTCGGTAAACGGTATGAAATGTTGGCGTACCGAAATTTCGGTTTGATTATACCGATTTAACATTCCTAAATTTACCTATGAAGTGTGTTTTTCGTAAGATAATACATAGTTGAGGGTGTGGCTGTAATTTGCATATATATATATATATATATATATATATATATATATATATATATATATATATATATATATATATAGACACACACACACACGTATAATATTTTGAAACATTGTATGTGTGACAGTTTTCGAACACACAAAACATTTTATTTTGTTTGACGTGTTGAAATGACTGGTTC